TTCTCTTCTTTCTTTCTTTCTTTCTTTCTTTCTTTCTTTCTTTCTTTCTTTCTTTCTTTCTTTCTTTCTTTCTTTCTTTCTTCCTTCCTTCCTTCCTTCCTCCCTCCCTCTCTCTCTTGCTCTCTCTCTCTCTCTCTCTCTCTCTCTCTCTCTCTCTCTCTCTCTCTCTTTCTCTATTTAAGAGACGATCTCAGCTAGCTTCAAGCACCCTATGTAATCAAGGGTGACCTTGAATGGCCCTGGGTGTAGTATGTAGATGGCTTGCTGAACTCTGCTGTGGACCCAGGGGGCAGCAGTCTTTGTACCAGAATTTGTAGGATCAGAGCCTAGGCCCTGGCAGCCTTTGTAAGCTAGACTTAGCTACCTGACTTCAACAAAACAATTTATTTTATTTATGTGCATGTGTTTTCCTGTCCCTTGTATGTGTCGGTGCAAATGTATACATACATGCATGTGGGTGTCTGCAGAGGCCAGAAGAAGGAATTTCAGGGAGTTGTGAACTGTCTGATTTGGGCGCTAGGATCCAAACTCAGGTCCTCGTGGTTGAGCAACAAGCATTCTCAACCATTGAGCCATCTCTCCAGCCCCCACAACTGGCTAGTTAAAGAGACAGGTAACAGTAAAAAGTGGAGAAGGGAGGTGTATTCAATATGGCCTCATTAGGTAGAGGATCAAAGAGACCCCATGACACCCACCCATGCCCCAAATCCATCACCAGGGACCTGGTGAGGTTTAGGTTTAAATAGAGGGCCAGAGGCATGCTTCATTAAATAGGCTCAGTCACGGTGTGGTCCAGCCCATCACTGACTCATTGTGTGGGCTCCAGTGTCTCCTGCAGGGTTCTCTGACAAGTCAGAACGGTGAGATCTCTTTACTCCTCTGTCTACTGCCAGGCTTCAGCCCTTTGCTTCTCCTAATGTGAGATTCACAGAGAAATTTCCACAGTCTGATAGCCAAAGGGAAGGGTACAATTGTTCCTCTTTAGAGTATTTTTATTCCTGTCAGGATGAACGGGGAAGACATGGCTGAGAAACAGAGACCCGCCAGGCTGAGAGGTGCCAGGTGCCAGGACAAGCTTTGAGAAGGCCGAAGCCAGGATTCTCCACTTAGAGGCTCCAGATCTGGAATGGAAAGTGACAGGGCCACACCTCAATAAACATAGTTTTGGAGCGGAGCCAGGTCAAACACTTCTGAGCAACTCAAAGGCCGCATTGTTCAGGAAGTCCCCCAGAGGTAAGGGACGGCTGCATGAAGTAGACTGGGTGAGCTCAGGGCCAGTCTTAGGAACATGTGGCTGCTGTCTTGAGATTACTGATCACTTCCCAATAGGTGTCATTTTGCACAACAGGGCACCCTCCCCACATGATGTCAGCTGTCCTGGCAGAGCTCAGCAAATCAGCCTGCCTCACCAAGGAGAGATGGTTCGGACACTGGAAACTTTAAAGCAACTTGAACTGTTGGTGTTGAGATGATTGAAAACTTGACAGGATCTATAGTCACCTAGGAGGCAGTCTGGACATGCCTGGGAGGAATTTTCTAGACTGGGTTCATTGAAATGACAAGACTCACCCTTAAGGTATGTTGTGCCACTCTGCAGGATGGGCATCCTGGACTGCATGTAAAGGAGAACCTGGACTAAACA